AAGAGAAACATCAAACTTGATGTCTGCTCAGAGAGATGAAGAGGAACAAGAGGACGAATCCTCCAGCCGGAGGAGAAGAAGGAAGGCATCGCGTCCACCGTCTGCTCCGAGCGGCAAGGCACTCAGAACAGCTGCTACAGCAGCGGGGTTGTCGGGCTGGTTCGGACACCGCAACCGAGGTGGAGCGAACGCAGAGTCTATCAAGACTGATGAAACTTCACTTCCAAACTCACTAACCAGTGAGCAGGACTTCTCCGTCTTCAGCATCGCGTGGAATGTGTTTCTGCTGCTAATGGGCTTACACTGGATGTGGAAGCAGATTACCAGGCCTCCTATCAGATGTATGGAGCGCCAACAACCAAAATCAAAAGCAGCAGCGAACCAAAGAGTTCCATTCCTCGAACCCGAGGATGAACCGCAGACGCGTGAACCTTTAGGACCCAACAGGGTCAATTCCGGAGAAACAACTGATCTGCGACCTATCTGGCATACTTCCCGAAGCGAAGTCTACCATCTCTCAGACAGCTGTTACCAGCTCAAGCAAGCAAGAGATGTTTGCAGGAAGGTGCTGTGCAAAAACTGCCTCCATGCAGTACAAGTTGCGGAGATTCGCAGGAACGATCCTTTTCAAAGAGGTGATACACGTCCACGTGGCACCGAAAGAGACATTGAGCGCTTCCAGACCTACGATGATGCAAGTACCACTCCTCATATGACGCAATTATTCAAAGATGCCTTGCATGCACAAATGGCCGAAGAAGCCATGCAGATTACCTATACATCGATCCCCAAGGGATCCCCGGCAAAAGCCAAAGGTACATCTGCACTCTCAAGTGCCGCATCGTCATCAGCGCCCAAGGCAATGCCACCAGGGCCTAACAAGGCAAACATGTCACCTCCACCTAAGAGTCCTCCGCCAAAGGCGAAAGGAACAGTACCTTCAGATCCTCCAAGACCAAAAGGTCCTACCAGAAGAGGAGGTCAAAATCGGCGCATTCAACGAAAGGCAGCTAGAGAAGCCCACAACAGTGGACTCTGCACCTATGCAGACGCTGCACTTAACGAAGCCAATCAAGGCCAGGCAATTAACGTTACGTGCCGAAACATGGCAGCAAGACACGTCAGCTCTATCGATGCAACGGTAGAAGCAGCCGGCCAGTTTACACAACGCGTGCTACAGCACGTAGAAACATATGATGAAGAGGAACCGTGGAGCACGGAGTTCCTACCAGTCGTGGAAGTCCTATTCAGGAACTTAAGCGGCGACGAAACAACTGTCATACATGACAATCAAACGGTAACTATGCCTCTTGCGAAATACACAGACCTCCTCAGAATCGCACAATCATTGCGAAGCTCTATCCAGAGAGACAAGGAGGAAAGGAAGGAACATCTTGACACCATCCAAGATACTCTATCCAGAGTGGAAATCCTTCTAACAGCACTGAAGGACTCAAGGACAGTCTTTAACCAATTGGTCCATTCCTCACTAGAGATAGAGCGAAGAAATAACAATCTCAAAAATGTCCTCGAGACACTTTTTGACGACCAAAGCTCTGAGGAAGACCAGTCAGAATCTGACAATGAAGAAGTCCTAACTCCTTCTGCAGCACAATACTGGAATAGCCTTTATGCCCACGCCTTATCTCCTTCAGGAGATGAAAGTGAAAGATCATGGGCGTCCTCAGACGGACAGCTTGAAAGAAGAAGGGCTGAACGGGCAAAGGCTAAGCAGCCGCAACCGGCAAAAGCCAAGGCAACTCCAGTCAGCTCACAAGCTGCTCCAAAGGCCGAGCCAAAGGCGACAACATCCAACCATGGATATGATACTGCAGACGCCGCCTTCACCAGGGCTGAGAACAGATTACTCGGAATCTTTTCAAGTTCCGAAGAAGATCACTCAGACCCGGATGAGCCACATCCGAACGTCTATGCTCGAGCCTATGATCCAAACCTGGATCCGAATCTGAGATAAGAAAATTCTCAGAGTTTCACAACAGTGAATCACAGGGCTCTAACAAGAGCACAATGAAGGGCTGCATAATTCGGTAGAAGAACATTACCAGACCTGATCTTGTACAGATGATCTCTCTGACCAATATGCATGAGTGTGTGCAAAAGGAGTGACCTCAACAGTGTACTTCAGTGCTATACCTAGCATAAACAATATGCTGTTTTTATAATGAGTCCAAACTCCGCAACTGTGACAGTGGGCATAACAGTATATGTGTGAATGTGCGGCCATGCTTCCGGTAAAAGAAAATTAGTGTCTGTTTGAAACCATAAACCTCTAAAGGGGTAGCTCTAACAGGTACCTACAGCAATGGCTGCATGCTCATACATATACATTCCGCTGCCCATTGGCTCACAGTGGTTTTACCATATTGAGACAAGACAAGCTCTCCTTGCGTAGCAAGACAAAACAACTACTGTCCGTGTGCAGGGCGCTGCCCTTTGATCCTTAGGGAATAACTGGTCATACACCTCCTCACAAGGAGTATCCCTTGGGGGTGTATCGGCACACCCCCTCCCCCCCCTCCCCCCCTCCCCCCCTCCCCCCCTCCTCGCACTTCGTATCAACAACCGTCTAAGGGTGGGGTTGGACAGGCCGCCCTAGCATAAAAAAACATCGACTGCCCCCTCGCCCTGCCGCTACACAGCCGAGGCGGGCGGCGTAGCGTTAAAATTATGAATCGCAGGACGCCGCAAGCTTCCAACAGAATCTGCCAACCGCAGCAAAGTCTCGTTGTCAGCCTCTTCGTCACCGCTCTCACCCTTGTCCTTGGCTACGAGGTTCCGAGATTCGGACTTCGCAGGCTTCAAGCCTTTTGATGTTCATCTCGCGTAAGTTTGAGATTTGGGTTTTATTTGCACCCTGGAAGCTTCGGGTGCTAGGAATGTGCCCTCAAGGCATGCTCTGCTTTTCGGCTTAGGGCTTCTGGATTCACGGCTCGACACGTGTCGCATCAGCCATGGCCCTTCTAAAGCTACACGCTACAAACGGGAAACCACAAAACGTACCTGTTGGTGCAGCACTTGAGAAGGGTGCAGTCATAGTGGCGAAACTTATTCGTTTGCAATCCCCCCCTTGCCGCAGATGGATAGCGTATAACAAATCATGAGCCAACACCAGCCGAATCTCTTGCGCGTCATCCAGCTGCTGCTGGATGTGCGTGATGATCCACAGGGCCTGGACGTGATGGCAAGAGTTTCGGAGACGTGTGCGAATTCTCCGCAACAGGACTGAATCCCTAGCCACTAACCCCCGAAGGAACCCGATTCCCGGAAGTTCAACAAGGCTGAATTTTGGACTACCATCTCATTGAAGAACCGTGTTGCTTCTTCAAAACATAAAAGTTCAAAAGGTAAACTACTATTGTTGTTGCGGGATGACAGCAGCCTATGCAGCTGTGTATTCCGCACAAGTGCTACTGCACGTGAGCGATTAGGACATGTACTTTCGAAGTCCAGGTGCATCCGAAGAAACATGGGAAAAGCCGCAAAAGGCTGCAGGAGGTAGTTTCAGTCTCAACGCGGTACTGCAACGGCCATCCTAAATCCGACGCCACAGGCCGCTAAGCTCCTGAAGGCAGCTGCCTTGGTGGTGGCCGGCAGCGTAGACTGCTCCGGTGTCCCGTGGAAAGACAGGTGGCCTGGGGAGAGCGTTCAGGATTGAAAGCCCTGCTACAGGGGCCTTATCAAATACCTATACCATTTTGGGAGTTCGTTAATATCGTCCCGGGCTTGTAAGGCTTCGCATCTGAGAAATGCCCCCAGCACAACGAAGAGACGTGGTCCGATAGTCTTCCAATAGATGTGCCGAGGCGCCCAAACCCATCCGCAGAACAGACTCGATGAAGGCCTGCGGCAGGCTCTGCTGCAAAGTCTGCATGCCCACATGTGTATATGTGTGTTTATGTATGTATATATATATATATGTAGATATATGTGTATATATATATATACATGTATACCTAAAAACTCTTTAAGAGTATGATTGTATTTCTATTCATCTAACCTATACGTAAATTGAAAGGTACACAGAAATAGTGAGCGTTCTTCCAAGTTCATTGGCACCATCATCCAAAAAATCGACGGAGGCAACCGCCGATTATACCAAAGCCGTAAACCAAAACCCTAACACCCTTTTTTGCATCCAGGCCTATTGCGACTGCCCAACACCCTAATACCCTAAACCTCGCAATCCCCAAGCACCAATCCTTGGAAGGGGCCCAAACCCGGAAGTCGCGGGCTGGCCTTGAGACCAAAGCACGATATCTTGTAGTTCTTCTCCTCTGACTTGCTCGTTGGCGCAGGGAACACCAGGGTCCAGCTGGTTTAGGCTTCCGAGTTTAGATACCAGGTCTGTCACTTGCTAGACTGAAGCTTCCACAATCTCAACACTTTTCGAAATGGTTAAGCCTGGGCATCGCACACATCACGTGAAAAGACCAGTAAAGTTAGGCGCCATACTTGTCGTCATTCAGGTTCACTCGCCTCACTCGCTCCCTATCTGCTGAACTCCCTCCCCACTCCCCATCTGCAGATTCACCAACCAGCAAAGAAGTAAAAAAGCTGGCAAGACGGGGGATCGCCCGGCGCCTCATCGTTTGAATCATGAACTGTGCAGAACACTGCCGTCTTGAACTGGCATTCCAGGCTTGGCCGCGGGTTAGGATTGGGTTGGGATTCAGAGGTTCAGAGCTGCAACGGGTGCGGCGCAGCCAGGAACAGGGTCCTCAAGTCTTCCAACTGTAGGCTCCCGCCGCAGGAACAGTTTCTCCCGATCCGGAGAAAACGCCGCTCACTCTCTTCTTTAGGGCTTAGAGTTTGAAGCACTTTGGCTGTATTGAAAGTTTCGGGTTCGGGTTTGTGCTCGTGGGTTTGGGCTGACGGCATAGGGTTTGGGGCTGTTGGTACTAAGGCCCTTATACTAAACCCCCATAATCATTCCCCCTAATAGAAGCCCTTATAGACGAAGGCCTCTGTAAGCAAAACCTTCACGCCAGCTTCTCCTCGGACTTGCTGTCCACCTGCGCTTGCTTGGCAAAGGGGTTGGCGAGCTCCTGGCGAGGATTGAAACGTGGTTTAGGGTTTAGGGTTTTTAAGGACTAGAGATTTTGGGGAATGGGGTGTAGGGTAGAGGGCCTTGAACCCTTGGGTTTAACATAGGGTCTGGGTCTTAAACCCTAAACCGTTCTCTCTAACATAGATCCAAGACCCTAAGACTGGCCCTGGGTAAATGTTGGACATGAGGGGTGGAGAGAACAAGAAAGTAAGGGCGGAGGCGCTAGCGAGAGGAAACACTTGGGCCGGAAGAGGGAAGGGTGAGGGAGCCGAGAAAGTGTGACAGAGCTCGGCTACCGACATGAGAGAAGGAGAAAGTCAAAGAGGGAGAGAGGTAGAAGGGCCCAGAGTCAGAGAGGGAGAGACGAAGAGCTAAAGATGCAGGCAAAGAGGCAGGTCACCCTCAACCCTCAACCCAGCCAGGGACTGAATAATTAGAACAAGGTCTTGGGGAATACTACCGTGCCAAAGTACAAGTGTCGTAGGGACGCAAAGGGGATACTAACCAAGGGAATCAGGCTCCCTCTCGCCTATGCGGGTTTGGCACTCCCAGCATTCATGGAGTGAGGGACTCAGGATTCACTGAACTCATGTTTAGGATGTAGGATACAGTAAGATGACTGTGTTTACGGTTTCCCAAAACACTGATTCGAACTGCGCTGGATCCTTATAGCACCCTTATGCCTTAATTATTATAGTAACCCTTTAAAGGATCCTTTCCAAGGAACCCTGGGTTTTTTAGGGTCTTCGGCTCGAGCACTCGTGCGAAGCCGGTAAGGCTTCACTACGACTGGTCCATCCAGCCCTTCTGCAACAGGCTTTCCACTTCGCCCGTCCATCCGGCCTTTTTACTAAATCCACAATACCCTAAAACCCTAAAACCTGAAACCCTAAAACCCTCAACCCTACTTCTACCTAGAACCCGAAACCCTAAAGCCCTAAACCCTACTTCGAGCACGGCTGTGATCGGCTTGAGGCTTCGTGGCGGGCGTGGGGCTTGGGGCACGCGCGGGCGCTTCCCCGGAGTCCTCCTTCTTCTGCGCCTTGGTCCAGCTGGCTGTCAGGCTAGCTATTACATTACTACGGTTTTAGCCGTTTTAGCTTAGGGACCCTAAACTATAAGAATGATGGCATATTCCTTATTGGGTAATGCTGGATTTATATCATCAATCGTACGTTCTTGCATATGTATAATGCTTCATGCTTGTACAACAAGCAATAACAGCTACTACGACTATGTGGTCAGCGTATTGTGCTGCAGAATCTTCTGGGCTCATCGCATCGTGCTTGCGGTTGCTCTTCCTCCAAGTATAGCTTGTGTTAGGGGACTTATAGCCCATGAACCTCCAAGTAGACCCGACACCCTACACCCCCTAAACCTTGAACTCTATAGAGACCTTATCTTGAGGCTTTGAGGTTCCCCCTCAGAACAACTGAGAGGATTTAGAGTTGAGGGGTTCTTCTGCCTACTTAAAGGGGTTTCGGGTTGAGGGTTCAGATTTACGACTTGGGATTTAGGGTTTACTTAAAGGGTCATGGGACTTAGTAACTAGGGTTATAATTAGGGTAACTATACTTATCATTACTGATAACCCCAATTAGGGTACTTATAACCCTACTTACTAAGTCCCATGATCCTCCAAGTAGGGGTTTAGGGGTTTCATTCTCGATCCTACCATCGTGGAAGTCCCTGTTTTCTGTGCTGAAGCTAAACCGCTGTCTTACTCTGCCTCGTGTCTGTTTGGGTTGTCTGAGGACCTGAAACAGCTTTATGCTATTGTTGAAGTCAAAGATAACTTTTCAAAAGGTCCCCCTACAAGACCATGGAAGGAAACTGAGAAATATGACAAAGTGCCTGCAAGGTTTTGAGGCCTGTGGCCAAGGACTTCTTGCAGGCAGGCCGCCCTCCTGTTCAGAAGATCCATGCGAACCTTGCGTGCTTTCGAACGGGGACGGTGCCACAGTACTACAGGGGGCCCAAATAATTTCAATAGGGTTTGGGGAGCTGTTGTAGTGTCAATATGGTCAGGAACCCTACGGAATACTTTGGGCAATCTTTCAGCTTCAAAATTACAGGAGTCTGTGTGTAGCCCATGGTGTAGGTTGTACTCATAAGAAGCTCAGCAGCAAGTGAAAGAAAGACAGCAACCCTGAATAGACGACCATGGAAAACGGATGGTGTATTTTTAAAATCTTGAAGCCGCATTGGTTTGACAACTACCCTCGTGCTCTGAGAAGTAGCTTCTATGGCTTACTATAAGGACCCCAAAATAAGGTACCCCTCATTTTCGGAAACTCCGATATGGATCCAACCCTACACCCCGTGCATCCTGCCTTCACGAAGTTCATGACTTTCATGAGCTCTTCTGGGCTGATGGCACCGTCAAGGTTGGCATCCAGGAGCATCATAGCACCTTGAATTGAAACGCTGGGGGGGAGACTCATGCAGGGCTGAGGGCATAACTTAGAGGTTTGTTGCCAGTGCTTGATGAGGGTCTAGGATGATCTAGGTGCGCTGTGATTCTGGCGCTTCGACTAGGCTTCTGGGCCTAGGGGTCAACGAGCCAGGGTCTGCGGTCTTCGACCGGTTCAGGGGTCGTTTTTCGCAAATGTAGGAGTTCAGGGACCATGCAGCGGTTCGAACACCAGGCCGACCGCTCCCCTTGAAGCCTATTTCACAAGCTTCATCGGCCAAGGACGCCTGAAGATCTGAACACGACATGTGACCCTGCAGCCTAGACCTAGAGCCCATGTTCGGGGTTCGGCTGAGCGCTCATGAAAGCGCTAAGCAAGCCCTACAAGCGCAAAGGCCCACCACCTAAGCCCGAAAAATGCTATAGTTCAAAGCTCCATGTGAAAGCAGATATTACTGGGTTGTAGTTTTGGGGCTCAATTAAAAAGTTTCCCAAATTGCCACCTAGATTATCAAGACGACCTGGGGGTCGCTCGATTTAGGAGACCTGGTCGATCCTCGATGCTGAGACCTAGATCCGAAACCCTATAGGAAACTCCAGAAAGTTGGAATATGGTTTCATGGTAGGATACCCTATAATTTACCATAGAAGGGTTAGGATAATCATATTCCAACTTTCTGGCTTCTACCTTATATAGACCCCTACGGCCTCATACTCTCAAACCCCCAAGCGCTGAACCCTAAACCCGGAGTTGAGGGTTTAGGGGTTTAGGGGTTTAGGGGTTTAGGGGTTTAGGGTTTAGGGGTTTAGGGGTTTAGGGGTTTAGGGGTTAGGGGTTTAGGGGTTTAGGGGTTTAGGGGTTTAGGGGTTTAGGGGTTTAGGGGTTTAGGGGTTTAGGGGTTTAGGGGTTTAGGGGTTTAGGGTTCCTGCTTCCAACCCTGAATCTCAAAACGCTGAACCCTTTTTGCAGCAGGCCTCGATGTCCAGCAGCCCGGTTACAGCAAGAGCCCCCCCGCTGAACCCGAAACCCCAAACCCTGAAATCAGACGGCTCCCGTTGCTGACGAGGCGCGGTCAAACTTCTCGAAGCTGCAAGTGAATCCGAGCTCTTCTCCGGCCTTAAGGCTGGGGGCTTAGGGTTTAGGGTTGTTTTTCTGAGTTCCGTTTTTCTCCGCCCAAAAATCTAAGCTTACATAAGGCCATCGGTCAGGATTTACTTGTTTCGAGTTTAAAGTAAAGTCTAGGGTTTGAGACGTTGGGGTTTAAGATTTGGGGCTTGGGGCCTCGTGTTTAAGGCTTCTGGCTCAGGATTTAGGGACGTTGTCTGCTTGCACGAGCCTTTTCCGTCTCGAGATAGCGCCGGGAAGCGGTTTTCCGCTGGGCGCAAAGGTTCAGGGACGTTTAGGGTTTACTGCTTAGGGTTTAGCGTTCAGGGATATTCTGGATCCTAGTGGTTGAGTGCGCATGAAGCTTATCAAACATTCGTCGTTTACCAAAAAAGTTCGTCGTCGTTTCTGAAGTTACGAAGGCTCTCAGAAGGATCAAATAAATACGGCTTCGAAGTTTTTTTTACACGACCTTTTTTCGGCTTCGCAGAATCCGAGAAGCGGGAAGTCCGCTGGGCGTCTGAAAACTCAAACAGGTCATTCCAGCACAGGTGTTCTTTGAGGCTTATGTAATCTTGGGTCGAGGGTTGAAAGGTAGGGCATAAGGCGTGGAGGCTTAGGGCTTAGATTGAGGAATCTGTTGAGGTCTGATATAGCGTCATTGTGGTAGCTCTGGCCTGCTAGGACGTAAATCATTATGAAGCTAACAGGCAGTCGCAAGTCACTACGCTCTATGACAGATGTTGGTAATGTCTGCTTCACTGACGTGACAGGCATGTGCATTGTCTCGTCCGATTTCTTCGCCACTAGTTGATCACAAGGTCTTTGCGCTACCACTTGAATCCTGACCCCTCGAGCTCTTCACCTAAATCAAGAACCCCTTGAAGGGTTCCTTTGAGGATGCAGGCTTCCTTGAAGGGTTCCTTTAAAAGGAACCCCTTAAAGGAACCCCTTACACACGTAACCTCAAAGTTCTGCCCAGGCACCATTTTGAGCTCCCGAAAGCCTCAGCCGACGGGTCGGAATTCGGCTGCTCGATAGAGATTTAGAAAGAGTTTGAGAAAGTGGCTTGAACTGCTGTAGGGGTTTATCTGACAATGAATGGGCCAGATATTGCTACAAGCGTTCGCATAGCTGGCAAATGGCTTTACAAGGGCGTCCCAGGCTTTATAAGGCTGCAAGTCTTGCAAGCTTATCAGGGCTTGACTCTTATGCCCTAGGGGAAAGCACCCAAGCGTCAGATCTCTTTACAAGAAGCCGTCATCCGAAAGAAACTACACGTAGCCAACTGCCTTTTACTTTAGGGTGTCATAGGGCTTTGACGCCCCGGCCCTAGCTTCGCACTGGTTTCCTGAAACTTTGTGAGGGCTCTGCGGTGCTTTAACAGCTCCGTGACCCCTGTTTGCGGCCTAGGGCTTAGCATCGTAATGCCAGAAGGGTTGAAGTTGTTTCGTGAAAGTTGTATTATTTCCGTCCCCACAAACATCACCGAGTTTGCTTCGGGAGTAGTGTATCGGTTTTCAGGTGGATTTTCAGGGATATTGCTAGCTTGAACCTGGGACCAAATCGTTGACAGCGGGTTCGCCCAAAAAAACCAGAATTTGACACCAGGGGTTGCTCCAGGTTTGGACCCAGATCTCAAAAACTTATGTTAAGCATAATAGGCGCTTTTCAACTTCGGACCTGTAGAGCCTTGGCCAAGGTCGGAGTTCGGAACTCTGATCCTTCGATTGCAGTCTAAGCAAACCCTAAAGGCCCTAAACATCCCTGTCACCTAAACCGTCAACAGCTCAACAACTCTGAAGAACCCGGGGTGGAATGCTGACACCCGATCCTGGGAAAAATGGCAACTCTCAAAAACCTGGGCTAAAAATTGCTGACACCCGATCATGTTAGATGTGGCCGAGGATCTAAGATGACCGTGGCCTGCTGTGTCGAACCTAGCGAAGAAGTCCTCGATGTCATTGCTTACGGGCTAACCACGGGGGGGACGGAGGACTTAGTAAGTTATTTTTACAAGCATATAAACATCATAACTATAACTTACGAAGTCCCCCGACCCTCCAACTAGAATTTACAGTGGGGTTTGTAATTTTGGGCCATGAACATGCTTTGTTGCACCGGACTTGGTTCCTAAACAACAAGAGCATCTACAGCAAGGTTGATCGTAAGAACCATAGTGGAAGGCGGGAGCCTTGAATTCGGACTTGCAGACTTGCCGACTCCGAAGGGCAAGATTCGCGGCACAACTGCAACAACGATGACCCATGCTGAATCTCAGACTTAAGGGTTTTCGGGTCAGCACGTATGGAATCGCAGCCTTGCATGAAATAGCCTAGACCGTAGACACAATCATCTCTACTCTACCTATCATCTGCTCGGGCGCCCCTCCCGAACCGTCCAAGAATCCTCTGGCATCCCCCGAAAGGCCCTGATCAAAAGATGTTCTGGTTTGAAGCATTCAATAGGTCCTATTGAGTGCTTGAAATCATAGCATCTTTAGATCAGGGCCTTAAGGTTGTAGGTACAATGGGATTCCAACGATTTCACTCAAAATTCAAGTATCACTGACGACCTTGCTTGATCTCGCGCCGTGCACCCGCCCAACTCTTTTCTTGGCCCACTCCCCTCCGGCAGTACAAAAACAAGATCAAGCAGCTTAGTTAATCTGCCCTCTTTCGCCAAGAACGAAACAAATCAAAGATACACTTCTTGCTCCGCGGTGCCTGGAACACCTACAGTATAGTAAACCATTAAGGTCCAAACTCAAACCCTGCACCCCGGAAGTACATCCAAACCCTTTTCAGCATAGGCTTGGATTGTGTGCCAGCAAACACCCCCCAAAACCCTGAACCCGGAACGATCCACCCTGTCCCGGACGCAAGGCACCGAAGCTTGAACAGTGCAACCCAAAACCCTTCAGAAACACAACTCTGAGAAAATAGGACGAAGCTAGAAACTCTGAACCTTAAGAAACACATGCCACCCTAAAGTGCGAGCGCTCGATCAGGCTGCCTTCACGGTCCACTTGTTGGCCTTTCAGAGAGGGTCGGGGCCTTGGGCCTCTCGAAGATAGGGTTTAGGGTTTAGGGTTTAGAGTTTAGGGTTTAGGGTTTAGGGTTTTCGGTTTAGGGTTTAGGGTTTAGAGTTTAGGGTTTAGGGTTGTGAGATTTGGGGGGGTTTAGGTTTCCGGTACTTGGAGGTTCATGGGTAGTTCTCAGTGGGGTTATAAGTAGGATAACTAAGTTTTAACTCTTACTAGAGGACTTATAATCCCACATATAACGACCCATGAACCTCCAAGTATAGTCCTTGAAGGGATCTCAGGTATTCGGTTTGGGAATTAGGGCTTCGAGTTTTCCAAAAGCTTCAGGGCGTTTCTCTTTACACTCTCAGCCCAAAAGGTGCTTCCGGATTTTGGGCTTTCGCAAGCCACTCAACCTCTGCAACCTGCACTTGGGTACTGCCCCCCCTTTCAGTAAGGCTCTATCATCGGGCTACGATTAAGGTCCAAATATAACTGTATTATCGATATTATCCAAAGGGGGTACTGAGTGGGGGCAGTACCCAACCCTTCACCCTACACCTTGGGCCCCCCCCTTCACCTCCCGCCTCTGCAGGCCCACAACTCGACCCTCCCGTCTAAACCCTGGCGCTTTGAAGCCGAAGCGACATAAACCTTAGAAGGGGCTCCCACCCTGTAATGGTGGCATAATAGGAATATAATAGGGCCCTACTATAATCCATATCGTCACTATTACAGGGTGGGGGCAGCTTCTAAATAAACCCCAGAACCTGCGAGAGAGAGGCTTCAACGTGGGAGTTTCAAAACATCTAGGTCTAGAGACGATCCAAAAGAACCCTAGATCTAGGAGTCTGCCAAACCC